TAATCTCAATTTTTTAATTAGTAAAAAATTAGACTACTATATTAAAATTGCAAAGAAAGTTTCAAAATTAACTACCGTATGCTATATTTATTATAATGAAAATTCAAGTTTAAAATATTTAGTTTTACTTTTAAAAATTGTCTAGTATTAATTATCGATATGATAATTATAGTATAGTTTAAAACTTTAACCTAAAATACTGTGATATTTTAATATGTAGAAGCCCTGCAACGTATCTATCAATACGATATGGGAGTATAAACCTAGAAAGTGGTGGTCAAGTGGTAGATGTGATTGAGGCGGTGGCACATCCTTCTTACAGTGATTGGACACTTGACAACGACATCGCTCTGATCCGTACCAAAACACCAATTACTTTGGACTCGTCGACGGCGAGTGTGATCGCACTGCCAGAGCAGGACTCGGATGTGGCGTCCGGACAATCGGTTACTATAACCGGTTGGGGATATACTACTGAATCGGGACAACTCGCGCCAATTTTGCAAAAGATTTCAATTCCAGTGGTTGATAGAAATGTTTGTCGAGAAACTTATAAAAATTATAATGAAGTCACAAATAGTATGCTTTGCGCTGGTAATCCAAAAGGAGGGGTGGATGCATGTCAGGTATTACAACAAATAAATTACACTGTAATCCCTAATTGCATAAGATTTAAGTAAAACATTAATTGACAACTGAAGGGAGACTCTGGAGGACCTGTAGTGGCGAATGGGGTTCTTGTGGGTGCCGTGTCGTGGGGTTACGAGCAGACCTGTGCCCAACCCGACACTTATGGGGTTTACACACGAATTGCCAAATTCAGGGATTGGATCAAAATTAAAACATTGATTTAAATATATTTAAACTTAAAACTTAAACTAGTAGTCTTATTAAATTATCTACTAAAGTTATAACTAAAGTATTATTATTGAGATATTCCTGTAAACAATATTTTAAATTGCTTTATAAAGGAATATTCAGTTATGATCGTTATTCAAATGCCATAATTAAAGCTTAACAATTTATTATAAATGAAAATCACTTATATTGATATATTTAATAATAAACAAATTATATGCCAAATTTAGACAATTTATTGGATATTTTAATAATAAATAATATTCTGATATTCTATTAATAGATACAGTATAATAAATGTATAATAAATTAAAAAATAAACTTTAAGGCAAAGCATTCAAACAAATACAATTAATTGTATTAAAATTCTAAAAGTTGCAAGGACACTATCGTAGTATTAAAATTTAGTTTTTATGCGAGTATAATATTATCAGCAATTCTGTAATCTGTATTAAAAGTTGGAATACAGAAAGAAAAAGTTAAGTTAGAAATATAATAAATATGTGATTTGAATGCTCACCACTAGATGTGAGGCCCTATATCATAGACGAGAGCATTAAAATAGGATATGAAAGACGTTTTGCTAAATAAAGCCCTTATGACCCCATTTCGCATATAATTCGCCCTTTTATGCAAAAAATGAACTTTTATTTCAAAACATATTCTGTGGAAATGCTCTATATATCAGTCAATGCATTGCATTTATTTTCTGTATTACGGTTTCACATAAATATTACAGTTGTTATAATGCATTTTATTTAGTCTCTCGTTTTATAGTTAGCTCATATAAATGATACAAAAATACAGTACTAATGAAATATATTTATATAGTACTATAAATAAAATGTATAAATTTTCATTAATTTATTGATAAACAGTAAAATTCAAATTCTAAATTATTTCGAAAGTTAATTAGTTAATTAGAACAAAGTATTTTATTAATTGAGTATAACATTTAAAAATAAATGTAAAACAATTTATTATAAGAAATAGTTGATTAATTGTGATTGAAATGATTAATAAATGCCGCAACTCCAATATATTTGGTAGGCACTAACTTTACGCGTGATATTAGCCAAATATAGTGATCTGATAAGATAAGAGATCTATTGGAAAAAAGTTGTCAAATTGTCAAAAGTTGTACTGGACAAGTTAGTTTATTTAGTGTGTTTGCCA